TGTATACATTTTTAAAAAATCTTAAAATATGTAAAAAAACAAAATAAAATATACGTGTTTAAGCGTTTTTCGGAAACTTGGCCGTTTTTAAATAAAAATATTGTAATATTTGAGGGGTGGTTTCACCCTCTTGGAACTGGAATTTCGAAAAATCCCTTCTTATCGAACCTCTACACCATAGAATCAACCTGTATGCCAAAATTGAGCTTCTTACGTTGAGTGGTTTGAGCAGGATCGTGATTAATCAGTATGTCAGTCACTTCTGTACTCAGTCTGTTTGTCTTTATAATATTGTCGTAATACAATTGAGATTGCTATGTACAGGGTCCGGCAATAGTGCGTCGTCCATTTTTTTTATGAGGTGTGAAATACCTTGACGTACGGAGTGTGGTACTCAATCTCTCGTTAAGCTGCCTGGAGGACACTACCCACTAAACATCACCCCCTCGCTCCTGCCACGTCTACCTGGACCCGCTGGACGCATTACTGAAGTGGACGCCGGACTGTTCCTTTTTTTTTTCATTACCCCTGCTCTTCGCTGTATTTTGCCTCTAGTATATTTTGGGCCAGTTTTGAGATGGCTTCAAAGTTTTCTCTTCTTTCTGTTACCGATTTTAAGAAGGTATCTGCGGAGATGTTGCCACTAATCGCCATGCGTGCCTCACATCTTTCCTGTTCCCATCTTGGACAAGCAAACATTGTGTGTTCTGGAGTATCCTTGGGTTCAGCACAGTATCGGCATTCCGCGACTTCCCTCTTTCCAATTTTACACAGGTAACTCCCAAAATTTCCGTGGACACTCAAGATTTAAGTAAGATAGAAATTTACCTCTCCATGCTTTCTTTTAATCCACATATTTATATTTGGGATAAGCTTATATGTCCATCTTCCTTTTTGTGATACTTCCCATTCTGCTGCCACTGCTGCACTGTGCGGTTTCTCTCCATCTCTCTGCTTGCCCTGGTTTGTACTTCACCCTTGAGAAAGAGTCGTTTTCTTTCTCTTGAGAGTAGATGCAAAGGCAGCAGACCCGATATCACCAAGGCTGCCTCAGTTGAAGTTGTCCGATACGCCGAGCAGACCCTCAAAGCCATGACTCTCTGTGCACCTTCAAGTCTTTTTTATTTACGTGCATATTGGTTGCTTCGTTCCACACAGGTGTTCCATACATAATAATATTCTGGCACGCATATGCTAACACTGTTCTCTTTGCTGTTGTTGGGCCCTGAACGTTTGGCAGTATTGCGGACAACGCTTTCGCAGTTCGTTGTGATTTCAGACACACCTCCTTGATGTGCAGGCCCATCGTGAGTGCACGGTCTATGTGGAATCCAAGATAGTTGACTTGCTTTACTGGATTTATTGTTATATCCTTAAAATTAAACCTTATATGGTCAACTTTTCTCTTGCGGCTCAGTAAAATCGCCTCTCTTTTTTCCACAGCTATTTCGAGTCTGTGCTCACGCATCCATTTGGCTATGATGCGTCGTCCATCTGTAGCTCCTATATCGATCGCAAATACATGCAGTATTATTTCATATGTCTCTTTCAACGGTAAAATACCAGAGAAAAATCATTGGGTGGCTTAAAAATTTATCATGGAAAATGCCATATGAAATATAAAACTGCCAATATCTGCAAAACCGCTAAAAATTTCTAAATACTCTAAATACAAAAAAGGTAGTATTTTTGGTTTGTCTATATTTTTTATAGTAGGATACAAAATTTATTTTGTGTGTTTTTTTCTTTAAAAGTTAGACAAAGAGGAACGTTAAACCAATGAGAGGAAATACGTCATATGTCATTTTTAATTCTTTCTATCGTGAATCAGGAGGGTAAAAAGCTGATGTTCCGTAATGCTGAAATATTCATCATGAAAGACAGGTCCAAAACGAGAAACTAAAAAAAGCGAGTGTCGATAACGAAAGAGAATTTTTACTGCTACATTTGGGCCCCCACGTCATTTGCCTTTTGTTTTCTCCTCGGTTTCTCATTTCCAATAAAACGTTTTTTTCGAACGGTGAAATATAATAAGAAGTCTAAGAACATGAATTATTGCTTTGATCGCTTTTGTGTTTTCTGGAAAACATCGTTACTTTCACTTGGGAGGACCACTTTTTGTTTCTGTTTGTTATATTAAAAGGATAGAAAGTAATACCGTTTGAGATTAGGTTTTGCCGTCATAATTATTTTCTTTGTTATTTTCGAAGGTTTCGGAAAAAAAGTTGTGTCAATTTCGTCAAAAACAATACTGAGTAAAGCTCTTTAGATTGGTTTTAAGGGCATCCGATTTTTTACCTGTACTAAAACCATTTGATAAAAAAAACAGGTTAGAGTTGCTTGATTTCCATTTGACGCCGTTTTTTTTTTGTTCACGTTATATCGTATAATAATATTTATTATATCTAGTACCTTCAAATGTTAATTAGTAGTTACCACAAATTCTAAAATTATGTTAATATGAATATTTATTATAATATATTAGTCAAATTTAATAAAGGGTCATATTTTTGTTATTTTTAGCCCTATTTGCATCATTTTTTTAGCAAACTGTATATAATTAAATCAACTTTAATTCGTAAACTCAGTTTTTTGTAAACTTTAGTAATTTGCATATTATACAGGGTTAATCCAGGGGTTGTTTTTTACCCTATCTTTAAAACGCCCTGTGCAATAATTTCGTGTCTAAATTTTTCTAAAATATAATTTTACAGTAAGAACCGTGTCTCCTGAGCTTTTTGTGTTTTGGATCACGTCAATGCATGCTTTGGCTAATTTTTATGTGCCAAATGAACTGATCACGATCAATTTGCATTTTTTTTAGTTATCATTACTTTTTGATGTAATTTTTTAAAAAAGCGAGATGGTTTTGGTTACTATTGTCGTAATGTCATATTACGCTGCATCGGATACTCTATATACTAAGTTAAAAAAAAAACTTTAAGGACTAACGATACAGTCCTGGTTTTAATAAACATTAATAGCGATAACTAAACTAACGATATTAAGGAAAAGATCTGTAATACTGAAGTATACAAACAGAAAAAAAATTGTAAAAAATACCCTAATACATTGTATTGCCTTCCCTGGATGCTACAACTGCCTGTATACGTTTTTTCATACTGTCATTGAGGCTGCATATATCATATTGCGTTATGTTTTCCCATTCTTCTTTACGGACCAAGCGAAGTTCATTTAATGAAGCTGGTAACGCTTGGCGACCTCTAACCCTCCTGCCAAAAATTGTACAGCCTACTGAATTAGTTCTGACTAATTTCGGACACTCTGTTGATCGTACTTGCCCTTGTCGGCGCAGAACTAGAGCATATTTTTGACTATCGGAAGTCACCATTTTTGATTCAGATTTCGTAGCTTAGACATCGATCAACTTATCTGAAGTCATCCGAAAAAGTTTCAACTTTTTAATTCTATTAAACTTTGGAATATAGTCCTAATGGTTTCTGGCATTTGGGGAAGGAATCAATTTTAAGTTTTCATGGGTATTTTGGTGGTAAGTTTGATCTTCATCATATTTTTACTCTTTTGGTTTAACCTTATCTGTTTACAGATTTTCTAAACGTGGTTTTGGTTGTCCTGTCATGAGTTTAATTTTTGAGTAAACCCTCAGCATCGTGAGGTAAGTTCTAAAATTTCTAAAATGCATTTTGTGCATAATTTGTGTCGTTTCCAGGGTTTTACCGTCCAGTTACATGGCGAGTTATATGTCGTGATTGGTGGTTTGAGGTACGAGAGCCTGTATCTATGATCCATGTTTGATTTCCACATGGCTGGTGGTATTGTAAGGGACTGTTCGAGGCTGTGGTAGATTGGGGATGAGCTCCCACACCTAATGTCCACAACAATCAGGCCAGATTTCATATATTATATTTTTATTAACTTATTTTAAATCTATTTACTTACTGTTGATTAATTGCATAATTAATTATGTAATTATTAGATATTTTTGAATTTCATTATTAAAATATTACTTTCTTAATTTTAAATATACAAATTTTTTTATATATATTAATATCTTGTCAAGTATTTTGTGATGGTGTCACTTGTGACATATTTATTTAATTAACTTTTGAGTGATTTACGGAATTATGTGCGCATACAACAAGGTTCATGAACTGCGTTAGTTTGAGGTACTTATTTAACTTTATTTTGCGTAATTTAATATTAATATGTCAATGATTTTTAATCAACAGAACAAGTGATCCTTTTTTTATGTCATACATTTAAATTTTGATTACTTATTATTCTTAATTATTAATTCATTTTAAAAACCTAACTTTATCCATCAATTACTGTCCTTGTCTAATATTTTTTTAATTATAAATAAATTTAAGTTGAGGTAAAGAGATCTATTATTTCTGAGTGAATGTCCTAGCGCCCATTAATTATTGTTTTATTGATTAATTATAACACCTAATAAAAAAAAAATAAAAAAACGAACCTACGACTGCTCGCAAAGACGAAAAGCTGCCGTTTGCATTGTGTTAAGAAAGCGTTACAACATTTCCCAAACGTCTAACATGATGGGCAGTTCATAGTAGTATATAGTTCACAATAACCACCAAAGCTGCCTTGTCATATTGAAAAAATACTTCAAAAATAAATTATTGAAAAAATTGCAAATAGTTGGAGGCAAGTTCATTTCGCTCTTAAAAATTAACCAAGGCATGTATTGACATGATCCAAAAAACAAAACGCTCAAGGGACGTGGTTCTGACCCTAAAATTATATTTCAGGTAAATTTACACATGAAATTATTGCACAGGGTGTGTCAAAGTTAGGTTAAATAAACAACCCCTCGATTAACCCTGTATAATATGCTAAGTACTAAAGTTTATAAAAAACTGAGTTTACAAATTAAAGCTGATATAATTATATACAGCTTGCTAAAAAAATCATGAAAATAGACTTTCAACAAAAAAAAATTTCCGTTGCGGTTTTTTTTGCAACTGAGTGTACTCACTTAAAATAATCTTTTTCAGCATTCTGTCATAGCCGAGACGCCCTCCCAACCCTCTGCAGCCTGATCACCGGCGATGCCCTGCTTTACTCCCTGTTCCGGGAGAACGCCACGCCCGTGCAGTGTCCCTTCAGGGGTCCCTTCACCTTCACCTACAACAGGGGCCACGGAGAGTGCCGGTCGCCCGTTTCCAACATCGACACCTGCACAGGAGGACAGCAAGCTGCTGCTCAGCTACCAGGCCTGTCCGGATATTTACGGATCGGAGAGCACCGGTAAGAAAATTTGCTGTGTCTGTGTCTGTGTTTGTTCTATGTTACTGTGGAAACAAAATTTCCTTTATAAATAATTTTAAGGTTAAACGAAAATAAAAATACGTATACATTTTTTTCATACGTTATGCCGGGTCCAGATCAAGCAGACAAAACAAGGACAAGATAGAAACATTCATTTTACGACAAAATTGCGACAAATTCAATACATTTCTGCAACATTTGTCTTATTTTTGTTTTGTTTCGAAATTCGTTGACTTGTCCCGTCTCGAATCGGTAAAGATCAAAGTGTCTATGTTTTGTTCGTATATTTTAGGACAAGTTGTTTTTCAAGAGTGAAAAATCGCCTATATATCCTCAATCCACAAAAAGGGAAATAAACAAGTGTGCTCCAACTATAGAGGTATATCAGTAACAAGTACTCTAAGTCGATTATACGGACGGATCCTTAGAAATTTAATAGGTCAGGAATACCAACAACAAGAAGAGGAGGAACAATCTAGTTTTCGGACTGGGAAAATCTGTACCGATAATATTTTCTGTCTGAAACAACTAATAGAGAAAAAAAGTAGTATTGATCAGGAGACACACCTCATGTTTATTGACCTTCACAAAACATATGATACCGTTCCAGATAACAGACTATTCCAGGTACTACAGGACACCAACATTAACTACACCTTAATTAGAGCTCTGAAAAACTTGTACGAAGAATCGACATCACAAAGTAAAATAGGCAACTCATTATCTGGAAGATTCTTTGTCAATAAAGGTCTACGACAAGGATGCTGTGTTTCTCCCACATTATTTAAAATATATGCAGCAAAGGCCTTGAGACAATGGAAGAGAAAATGTAATGTTTATTCCTGCTAATCATTAGTAGTTCTTTTGTAGTTTTAGAGCTAGGTCCTTGAATAAAGGTCTTGCTGTGTCTGTGTCCCTGTCTGTTTCTGCAGTGGATATTCTGCTTTTCCCTGATCCAGAGTTTTAGTGCACTGTGGGCCATACATTTGAATATACCCAGTACTGGCTCTGGACCAAGATAGGATGCTGATGCCTAGCTAGCTCATCGGCTTTTTATAAGCTTACCTGAATAAGCTCTTCGATTGTTTTCTCTCGCACATTGTAGGATGGCGAAGCTTTTTGCCTGGAATACGGTTGATTATTTACCCAAGGAAAAGGATAAGCTTGTTCTTGGTCTTTTCCCATACCGGGTGTTGCATCCTCGAACGGGACATAGGAAATCCCATGTAAATTTTAATGGGGTCAATTATTGGCTTCCCTAATTATCTTAGAGAATAAAAACCCACATTCAAAAGAATAACTTTAGATATTTTTGATTAGCTCATTTACGTTATCGCCGATTTATTTTTAAATATTTCTCCTTTCTTATATTTAGTGCTTTATTATTATTGAAAACTCATTCCTACATCGGAAGTCTTAAATATGTATTTATCAATACAAATTAATATGAATTAAAGTAAAATAAAGTAATCAATTACAAGGTTAATTATAGTATTATTACAATATTCAATAACTTAGTAATTTAGGTACTATTAAATTGTTAGAACTTTAGGATTTAAGATGTTCAAATATTCCTCCATCGACTGCTAGACAATAACCTAGGCGATCATAAAATTCTTTTCTTACATTCGCTAGTTGATAAACTGAAATTCTATTGCATTCGGCAGAAATAGCATTTTTTAACTCATCTAGATTTGGGTATTTTTTATCCTTGTATATCCTGTTTTTTAATTGGCCCCAGAGAAAGAAATCATTTGGTGAAATATCAGGAGACCTTGCTGGCCAATTTACTGTATGATTTAGGCCAATAACGTTTCCGTTAAAACTATTGTCTAAATATTCCCGAACAGCCAGGGTACTATGTGCCGGACATCAATCCATTTGGTACCAAACTTCCTGATTTTCCCTAGCGGCATCATGTAAAGCAGGTAAAATATGATTTTCGAGTAGTTCCAAATAATATTCTGCATTTAAATTTCGCGTAAGAAATTAATAATGGCCCGATAATATTGTGTCCGAATATCCCTGCCCAAACATTTACTTTCTGTGGATATTGCGTCCTTGTTTCGACAAACCTGTGTTGGTTTTCTTTATTCCAATATCGATAATTTTGAACATTGGGTTCATTATTTAAGGTAAACATGCATTCGTCAGTGAAACATATGTTTTTTAAAAATTCCCTATCCGTGTTTGCTCTTTCCATCATATCAAAACAAAACGCCTGCCGCCGTATTTCGTCCTCATCTCGTAGCTCTTGGTGCTTTTCATATTTGAAGGAATAGTACTTATGTCGTTTCAAAATTCGAAACGCTGTAGTGTGATCTATTCCTATTTCATCCTCAAGTTTCCTTGTGCTGATCTTTCCATCGTTCTCTTCCACGAACAATAAAACTACCAAGTCGGTATCATTTCTTGCTTCTTGGTATCTTCTTTTTGTTCCTGCCTTGCTTCACATCTGCAGTTATTTATTAGGGTACCTTTGGTCTCAAATCTCTGGATATTCCTTGCGATTGTAGATTTTCCAGGTATCGGTCTATTCGGATTCAGAGCAGCAAACATGTCCGACACCTTTTGATAACTATTTCGTTGATAATACCATTTAATCATCAATACTCTTTCTTCGGTAGTGTAATTCATGGCTAATATTTTCGATGTAGGTATGAGTTTTTAATAATAGTAATAAAGCACTAAATAGATAAATTTCTGAAATGACAACTTCATTTGACAGTTATCTTTTACCTTGACTGGTGCTCGTAAGAAATCGGCGATAACTCGTAACGGGCTAATCAAAAATATCTAAAGTTATTCTTTTGAATGTGGGTTTTACTGCTCTTCAATAAACCTGAATAGGATTATTCTCTAAAATAATTAGGAAAGCCAATAATTGACCCCATTAAAATTTACATGGCATTTCCTATGTCCCGCTCGACGATGCAGCACCCGGTATACCCCAGCTTCTGTCTGTGACCCGTCTGTATACCAGGTTAGTCCGTCCTGAAGGAATGTTGTATCTGTCCACATTTCTCGATCCATTTTGTGCACCTTGAATGGTTTGTGGTAGTGACAAAGAGGGGTCACTTGGTCCGATCTCATCGTCAAGGAAGTCTTGGGGCTGGAGATTGTGTGATAAAATAAATGAAACAATAGAGCCCACAATATGTCACTGCGAGGCTCTGGACCGTAAACCATGCTCTCTATTTGAAATAGCAAGGCTATAGAATCGGAGAAACTGTGCTCGCATCCTATCAGGGACTTGCACAAACTGGTGCAAGGCCCTGGATATAGACAGAAAGGGAAGATGCACAATGTCTTACAGGCAGCAGTGTTTCCGCAATTTCGGGCCTTTTAATATGAAGAAAAAACAGATGGTTATCAAATAAACACGCTACATTAAAATATTATCTTCCTTTATATTGCATTATCTGAAAATATTTATACATGCTTGCAAAGCGATTTGCTGTTAAAGTAATTGCCCGCTAAAACCATTGTATTTCGGAGCACCCGCTCCATTTTGTGCCCGGTAATCCATAGCGTATATCGATGTTATTAATCAAATTATAATAAACTGGGCAGCATAACGTTAAAATGTTATTAAATTGAAAATTAATTACGGAATCATTTTGACGGGGAGTATTTTTAATTCGGGGGCTGCCATTCCGTAATATGTTAATATTATTTTGTTTTAATGAACGTATGTAATTTCGAGGACATTAAATGTTCATGAAATATTAACGTGATTAGCAAAAAAAGGAAATATGCGCGCAGCATGTATTGTACTAATTGTGTAGCGACCTTTATTACAAATAGTAGTCGAAATGAAATATGCAAAATGAAATGTAATGATTTAATAATAAATATATATGTATTGGTTAATTTGTCTGTATTAAACACTATATGAAATATGTGTTCTATTCCTAAATAATTTGTTCTATTCCTAAAATTCCTCTAAAAATAAAAAAAAAATTTTCCTCTGAAAATACAGTTTATTTAGTTGAATATTACATTCTTATTTTTCTTTTCACTATATTTGTATTCATTTAAAACTTCCCAATATGGCGGACCTCAGTATGGGAGGCTTATGAAAAACGAAAATCTCTAAACTGGAATCGACTGTACTTCAAATCGTTCAAATCGATAATCTGTGGTAAATCCAATTGAACTCTGACACTTGGCTGACATTGACGTTTACGGTTCCTTTTTCTCTTTGAATAAGAAGACTAAGGAAGGAGTATATCAAAAATCTTAGGTACACCGCGATGGGCCTCAAATATGGCCGACTTAAATTCCGGTTTATCAGTGTCGTTCTAATTTTATTTAAAAAATGTAAAACTATGATGTAGGGTAGACGTGGGGTAGACTCAATAATTTGTTGTTTTATTTTACGTTGTGAATAAATGTTGGTAGTTATTAAAATTGTTATAAAAATATATAATTCTAATAAAAATAGATAAGTTATAATAAGTATTTATTAACACAAACATCCGATACGCTACTGAAGCAGGTAAGTCAAATTAACGTATCTAAATTCTTTGACATCTAATCTTTGACAAGTAATAAATAAAAGCTAAAATGCAAGAAAAATATAGAATTTAGTTAATTTAAGTGAATTTCATAAATGATCGGTTTACTACACGTATGTATATTATATAGTCACTTACTAGCGAAAAGTTGTTCCATTATTTTACTCAATTTTTGCCGAGATCTACCGCACGCTACACAACCAACTATTTTAGAGTCTTTTTCGATAAATCGCGATAGTTGCACTGTTAATTTAAGTTCTGCCACAATTTCCATCTAGATTTACTACCTTTATATAACTATCAGTAGTAGAATAAATAATAAATAACATAAAATCAGCTCCGTAAAGACTGACAAATGCACAAAATTTCAAATCAAATTCAAATGTGTCAAATGAATCGTCAAACAGAACTGTCAAGGATCCCCACCCTAGAGAGCTTTTATGGTGCCTTTTCCGCCCA